GTTAATGAAATTGATGCGTGGATACGATATTTTCGAGTAAAATTGACAGATGAAAATGCCAAGATGGCCGCTGGGCGCCATCTTGTATGAAAACGGGAGTCTTGTGGCACATCATTTTGAAGCGCCTGACGAGTACCTTATAACCCTAGAATATAAAGTCAATACCTTTACCTACCAGAAAATGGTGTTACATTTAATAATTATCTGAAAACATTGACACTTAACTTGATAATTCGTATAAATACGTTCCCAACGTTAATTTTTTGTGGATATTGAGTATGAGTTTCCCGGAAGACGTGAGGATTGGTGTCACTCCAATCACGACAATTTTGTCTATGCATATTAGAAAAATGTACATTCATCACTAAGACAAATATTTTGGATATAGGTAGGATATAGCTGATGCACCATTTGAATTTTGTGTGGGTGGTACATATCCTTTTTCAAAAGTCTCCCTACAAAAGGATAACCTCACACACTTTCGCGATGTAGGAAGTAGACTGTTGGGGATTTACTATCATCTCACCAATTATTTGAACTTGCTTTTTTTCCGGGATGGTCGGATGACCTGGGGACTTTTTGTTGTTTACACTAGCAGTAGTTGTAAATTTATATACAAGTACCCTTAAATATTTTCTACAGATGAGACGATTCGGGAAACGATCATTAAAAATCCTTTCCGTCTCGTGAAAGTTACGTGTCGCACCATAAATAAAAATCGCTTCGATTTTTTCTTCCAATGGACAAGAATTGACCATTTTAAAAATAGTTCAAACAGTATCTAGCGCTAAAACCGAAAACTAAATAAGACTATTTTAACTGTACAATGATATTTGTTTTCGCACTGATATTCTTGTCACTGTCAACAAAAAATAACAAAACAAGTTTTTATCGCTGTTGCTGTGGGTACGGCAGGGAATTACAATTATTTGTAGAGATATGCATATTAGTCTAATTATTAAATGTACCACCAATTTGTAGTAGGTAAAGGTATATAAAGGGTTATAAAGTACTCGTCAGGAGCTTCAAAATGATGTGCCACATTATCCTCGTTTTCATATAATTGTTTTTCCAAGATGGCGCCCAGCGGCCATCTCTAAATCTTTGTATCGCATCGAATACCGTACTGCGTGGAACGGCAAGCCTTTCTGCGATATTTTGAATAGGACGACCATCATTTTTATTAAGTATTGCTTGACAAGAATCTTTTTGACATGCCATAAAATGCTAACAGGCATAGCCTACTTTATACAATTTCTTACCCGGCAAAGCCTGCTTGAAACAATTTCTTGTTTATGGCTATGACTCGCATGATTTTCTTCAAAACATCATATATTCTTTAATAATTGAGATATTGACATGAATCAAATAAAGAAATGTTGAGAAAAGTTGAGGCTTAAAATTTTCAAACAAGCACACATTATTCAGTAATCCAATGTTTCCACAGGGTGTTCAGGAATTTAGGGCAAAATGCACCTTTTAGTTACACCGTGTATAACAACAAACATTTTCATTTTTTTTGCAAGACCGTTAGTCGATAATAATAACAATGAAATTACCTACAACTTGACGGAATATTTAACGAAATTAATGGTGATGTAGGTTAAAAAGTTATTTAAAATTTAATTTGAACAAAATTCTGTTTGTCCGGTTAATTTTGCGTGTCAGTGTATTATAACCAATTTGCAGCTTGGTGGCCATCTTTACATATGGCGGTCAAACGACCATGATTTTGGTTGCGCGATCTGATATTTTATGTACTCGTATAGATGCCAAATAATGCACGGCACCCGTATGACTTAACTTAAAGGTGACATTAGGGAGTTTTCGCATGCCACTTGACTACTATTCGTCATTGTCTGTCAGAGCGGTCCGTAGGACCTTTGCTCTTGGTTGAAGTCTTGTAAGTCAGTAGGTCTGTCAGGTCTGGTTGCCCGGATACCAAACAAAGTCACGGAGAAACAAGGGAAGAAGAAAGGAGGGAAGGAAGGAGGGAGAGCAAAGAAAAAAGAAGTGCATCAATTTGAGGGGTGCCTTGGCATTGCTAGTTAGTATTCGGCAATTTTAAATTGATCCTAAAATTAATTTTGGGATTGGTTGTTGAAGAAAAATTATAATTTTGGTTGGACCTAAAGTCGCACGATTTAATTTTGTTCACAGTGCGAGTCGCGGCCTTGTGAGCTTGCGAACTTGCTCGACTGTGTAGTCTACTGACTCGCGCAACACAGGGTTGTTATGCGATTCTGCTTGATTGTAACGTAGCTGCGCTTGTTGTTTGATGTAGTCCCTTAGGTAAGGGATGACAAGGTCTCTGTGAAGGGTCTCGTTGGAAACATACCATTGGGCGTCAGTGATTGTACGCAAGGTTCTGTTCTGCAAAACCTGCAGGCTACGCAAATGCGTTTTGGCGAGAAAACACCAAGCCGCACTTGCGTAAGTGATCGCTGGTCTAATAAACATCTTGTATAGCCGAACTTTGTTGATCAAACTTAATTTTGATGTTCTACATAGCATAGGGTACAGTTGCCGAAACGAGATTAGGAATTTAGTTTTTAACGCTTCAGTGTGCTTCTGCCAGGTTATCCCCTTGTCAAGAGTGACACCGAGATACTTAGCAGAGCTTTCCCATGGTACCCGAGCTCCATTCACTGAAACGTCAGACGGGGCCGCTACGTTTTTTAGTACAATAGATTGCCTGCGTGTTCGAATGATTAATTTTGATCAGCCACCGATTCGCCCATTCCAATACCTCGTCCACTGCACTTTGCAGCCTGTCGTGAACTAGATCCCCAGATCACGACTGGGCCACCAGGGCAGTGTCATCAGCATAGAGATAGGTTCCACAGCTGCTGGGGCAAGTGACGTCATGAATAAAAAGTGAATAAAGGACTGGTCCAAGAACCAAACCCTGAGGGACACCGGTTTTGATGGGCCGTGTTGTCGACAGAACGTTATTAATTTTGATCCGAAATTTCCCACCCTCGAGAAAGGATTTCAAAAGTTTTATGGATCAATTTGTAGAGATGGCCCTTGTGCCACACCTTGTCAAATGCCTTTGAGACATCCAGTAGCAAGATGCCAGTACTTTCGTTACGGGTGAACCCTCTGGTTACTCCTTCAACAAGCCTTATGGCCTGTAGCTCCGTACTATGTTCAGACCGAAAGCCAAATTGCACGTCAGGAATCACATTGTGTTCTGCCGAGAAATTTTCAAGGTGACGTAGAATCACCTTTTCAGCGAGTTTAGAAGGAGCTGACAGTAGACTAATGGGGCGGTAATCCTGGGGGAATATCGAACCCACCTTCTTTGGAATCATTATGACATCAGCGGTCTTCCACGCCGTTGGGAAGTGCTGGGTCCATAGCATGGCATTGATTATTGCCACGAGATAGGTTAAGGACTTGCGCGAAAGTAGCTTCAGCGCCTTATTAGTGATTCGATCCTCTCCAGGTGCTTTACGCACCTTGAGGTCTTTAATATGACCTTGGAGCTCTGCTGGTGTGCAATGCGGAGTCTCAGGAGATTCCGCTGATGTGCCGTGCAGCTCTTCAATTGAGGAATCTTCTGAAGATTCCTCTGAGGAAAAATCACTAAGGGAGGCACTACTGCCACTGACGCCGTTGGCCCTAAAATATCTCCTGACGGATCTTACAATATGTTGCTCCTCGTCGAGGTCATTATCAAGGTCATAGTTGGGAGAGAACTGACTTTCCATTGCATCAGCGAAAACCTCGACCTTTTCCTCTGTCGTACAGACTATGCCCCTAGGACCGTGGATGTGCGGGAGTTGTTCCCGCTTTCCGTTTCTGAGCGACTTTGCAACTTTCCAGAGAGGAATACTTGAGTCAAGCATCCCCGACAGAAAGTCGCTCCATTGCTCATTACGGAATTTATGAAGAGCATTTCTCACTTCATGAACAAGATTCATTGCTCTGTGAATGTCATCTGGGTGACAAGACCTCTTCGCTTGCTTAATTGCAGCTCTTTTGTCAGAAATTTTCTGACGAATGTCTGCAGGGAGAATGCCACTTGTGCTGCGGTATTTTCTAGGCACGATTTTTTTTGACAGACACGCATGCTCAGTTGTGGGTTTCATGATAGCGGGCACTAATTACATTACCGCCTAGCGTAATTTGAGAACACTTAGCGTGAGGCGGTATATGATCGTTTCGTGGACACCCGTTAGGTGCCGTTAATGGGTGATTTTTCTTAGTTTGAAAAAAAATCGTATGGCCTGTGGTTTTCATTTTTATTCATAAAGTTTGTATTATGTGTACTGCGAAAGAAGTCAAGCGAACGGGGAATTTGTCTGTTGAAAATGCTGTGCAAAATCTCAGTGTCCAACTCCTCGTGGTTCACTGCCCCTAAAGCGGCCAAATCAAGAAGTTCTTGTACATCCATTCCATCAAAGACACCTTTACAGCCAAAGTATTGAGGTTGTAGCGTTGTAGGGTACAGCTTTAAGGTCACAAATTTAAGGTTATGTCCACGTTATTTCTCATGCTGTTGTGAAAAGTATCCACAACCGATTAACATAACGTATACGTAATGTGCTTTACCGGACAGCATTTGCGCCTACGTCGTTTCTCTAAGCGTTATGCGAAAATCCCCTATTATATCGAGTTTTTAAGACGTTATGTAGTTTTCTTACATTATGTGGGTTGACATATAAAATGACACCTTTGAACTAGCTGACAGTCACTTCATGATGACTTGTAGTAGGCGCGTATTGAACTAGCGGAACTCTAGCGGATACCTAATGCACAAGTTTAATATATATTTTTGACATTATATAGGTTTTTTACGTAATAACCCTGCCGCATTCAAACTGAAAGCACAAATGTAACTTTGATGACTGCTCGTACACTAATGGTTGAGGTACAGTCAGCCTCTGTATCAGCAATGGATGAACTAAGCATGAAGTTAACAATTACTATTAACCTTCAGTTGAATTAAATTGTCTACCCTTTTCAAATACGTAACAAAACTTCACACTCACCACTCCATGGTCGCAGACGCTGACCGCCGCCTGCACTCCATTCGCCTCCCCTCTCAAGTGGCACTCGACATCCCCCCGCTGAACCGGAATCGGAAGTGCACTGCCGTTCGAGAACGACTCCAGCAAAATGAAGTCCTCGGTAAGGAGATACGGTGAAGGGTAAAGATCCAGAGCGAACTCATGGGCCAATTCCGGGGCTGTAACGTGTAGGCGGCGGCGAAGGCTGTTGGGGTTGTGATCCTTGGATGGGTTGTTGATGAGGCGGGGGTAGGTAATTTCGTAGCTTCCATCTGGAATCAAGGTATGTAATGTGAGTTGATAAAAATCTTGAATTTGCCAAACACGTGGCGAAAAAATCGAGAGGTGAATCTTTTTTTGACCATATTCTAAATTTATGAACGTATATAAAATCTACAAAAATTTTTTTTAGAAAAAAAATCACATGAGAAGCTAATTGATCTACAAAAATTAAATTCAAGGTATTAAGATCTGTAAATTAAGGGATTAGACTGGCAACGTTGCGTTCGATTTGGCAACACTGGACTTGGAGGCGAGGCAGGGAAGCATGTGATCCGCCATCAGTACAAGTTTGAATTCGCTCGAGTCAGTCCATTGCTAGCGTTTTTTTTTTGTGAAACAGTTTTTTCTATTGTGCTCTAAAAGTGACATCAGTTTCAAGCAACGGTATGCTATCCGTTTTTGCTTCAGACTTAGGTACAATGCAGCGGAAACTTCGGAGTTTTGTCACGAGCGAAGGCTTTACGGTGATTTTAGGCATTTTCAGATGGGAGAGAGTCAATCGAAGTTGAACCACGAAACGGAAGACCTTCATCTTCAAGAACCGATGAAAATATCGAGAATCCGGGATCTTGTGCTTTCAGATCGTCGGTTGACATTCAGAATGATCGGGAGAGAGTTAAATTTGACTCACACCATCGTTAATAGGATCAATGAGAACTGGGTATTGCATCACGATAATGCTCCTTATCACACATAAATGTCAATAAATGAGCTTTTGGCGAGTAAAAACATTGATGTGGCTGATCAGCCTCTTTATGCGCCTGAATTAAGTCTTTGTCACTTTTTTCTCTTCCCGAAGTTGAAAAATCACCTCAAGGAAACTCATTTTGGGACAGCCGAGGTCATTCAAAATGCTGTAACCGTCCAGCTGAAGGCTATTCCAGTATCGGAGTTCCAGCCCTGGGATGAGAAGAAGAACCGTCTCCAGCACCATGTGGCTTCAGAAGGAAGTCATTTTAAAAGTGGCAATATAAAATTGTAACAGTATTTGAAAAAAAAATCCGAAAATGATTACGGCCCTCTGAAATGTCAAAAAACGACTATTGAGCGATTTTTATTTTTCCGTGTTTTTGCTCCTAGCTCCGCCACTACTAGTCCGATTTTCAAAAGCTCTTCCATCTCTGGCGCAGTAGTAACCTTGTGTGAAAATATCAAAATCAGAGCAGTACTTCTCAAGTTATAAACACTTATAAAATTAGCGACAGATCGACGGAAATGAGTGACGAGTGACATAGTTTTTCGTGATGTACATGTCATATAAAACCAAAATATCTCAATTTCGCGATTACAATACTTCCTCGCTATTTTTTACATAGGAAGTAGAGAGTATATATATATAATGTAAATTGATAAAAACCTTGAGCTGTCAAAAACTTGGGGGTTAACATCGAGAGGTGATTCTTTCTTGACGATATTCAAAATTTATGTTCATATTTCAAGATTTTAAAAAATTAATGAGTCTACAAAAATTATTCTTGGAGACTAGGTATATCTTCATCCTAGAATACAAGTCTCCAAGGTCTTCGTCAGAGACTGCCGAAATCTTTCAAATAAATGTATTCAAAATTAAAAGTACTGGAGAAATAGTCAGACACCGCTATACTGTACAAAGGTAAAGATTAGAACGACTTGATGTTATTCAAAATGACTTTTGTAAAATTATCTAGTGGTTTCAATAACCGAAAATTGGCAATTGAGTTTGCAAAAACGCATTTTTTACCACTTTCATTACTATCCAATCATCTACCTAGTTATAACATCCTCCTCGTTAAGGTAAATGACAAAAATCCAAAAGTCAATAGAGTCAATGACTCAAAACATTTAGGAATTTATCTAGATCCTCACTTGGGTTGGCACATACATATTACTCATATATTAAAGAAAATCGGATTAATAGGTTTAGTCGAGCCAAATATAACATACGGCATAGTGATATGGGATGCTGCATTCACGATTTATAAAAACGATCTAGACGTGCTTCAAAGAGCAGTTTTGAAATCAATGTTTGGTGAATCAAAATTATACCCAACTGATGACTTCTATAACGATGGCAATGATGCGCAATATATAATATAACTATACAACTTTATTTCTTACATACCATCACACATTATCAGAAAATTGTTAGTGAACGCGACGCAACTAAAAACACAGTCATAACAGCAGATATAAATCACGCGCCAAAAAATTAAAAGAATGGATTAATACGCTTGGGAGAAACAGCATTCATGGAATAATCGCGAATAATACACAGTAAATACTGTCGTCCTTACAAATAACACAGCTATGTTTTTTATATGTTTTTCTTTTTTATCTGTCGCAGTTCATTCATTCATACAGTACTTGCATATCTTAATTTTTTGAGATAGGTGGTGTTAGAACCTAAGCGACGATATATCAAATTCGAAATATGTTGGTATAACAATACTCGTCTTTACATCTTTACGATACACATTCATTGCTTGTTTTGCGACACGTGAAACACTTCTGGCGTTGTGTTATGCAGTCCACTAACTGCAGGTGCCCTTTATTAGCTAGATGTTTACCTGCTTCCTCACTACCTACTATAACACAGACGCCACAGCTAAAGTGCACGTAGGATTTTGGATACCACAATATCATTTCAGACACCCCGCCAAAAACTGTTTTAGCGACGGAGTGACGCTTCTCTTCTATAGTCCATATTATTTCGACATATCGCAGATGGTTTTTGGAACTTAGGCGCTACTGCAACGTTGCACTTCGGTAGCTTTTGGAGGCCAGAAAATGTCAGAGGTTTGTGCAAGTTGGATCGCTCATTTTTCTACAATTGACTCATACACAGGCACTGTCCTTCGATGGATAAATTATATTTATTTTTTCATTTCATGTTACCTGTATTTATAGAGTAAATACATATAACTTTTAGTACTACACTAGAATTGCTCGTGAGTTCGTAACATGAGAACATGAACATCGATGGTCAGATATACACTTAGGGCCTAAACTTAAGCCCAGCTACTAACGGGGTCATATACCTAATTATTTATGCTACTTCCAGTGCCGTCGCAACCGCTATATCAGCTGCATCAGTGATTTGGGACTCCCACAATGCAAGACTTTAGGGTGTACACCAAACTATAAATTCTCAAGCGCTAAATCCTGAGATTGTGTGGCTGGGTGGTAATAGCCTGCTTTGTACTTTGACCTTCCAGTTGCAACACCTGAAAGAACCTTTTGAAATTGAAAGTGATTAAATTATCTGAGCTCCTCATCCTCATCCATGGATGATTTAACAGTAGAGTTTCCAAGAAAAAAATTGTGCAACTGGATCGATTCCGCTGTTTTCAAATCTACCAAACGTACAAATTGAAAATTTTTAGTTGTTCGAGTATATATTTAGCTCAAAAATAGGCTTTGCTAAAGAATCAGAATATTTGACTACGTACTAACCTGAAGGTTGTAAATCATACAAAAACAAGCTTTGGGAACGATCTGAAGCGGTCTTGTTTTCTACTTTTAAACGGCTTTCAAAATAAACTGGCATTATCCGCCATGACCCCACAGGACGCAGCACCCCAAATTTCATCCAAATCGGTGCAGCTGTTTCTGAGATTACGAATTCTGTTCTAACTACGTTTTAATAACAAATACATCCTTAGTTTAATACAAGTATCAAATAAAGAACTTATGGGCATTTAAGTCAGACAATTCTGATACATCGTTTTCGTTACCTTCAGAAATTTTACGTGGACCCTTGTTTATAGAATGAACGAATCCTTCAGTTAATCTATAACAGTCCTGTACAAACCGGAGATGCAACATATATAAAGAAGTGAAATTTAAACCGATACTATCAAAATACTCATTTAAAGGCACTACGCGGGCTGCTGATCTTATAAACGCCAATAAATTAATTTCATTTTTTATCTATGCGTCAGTTAAAGGGATGCCTTGCTATTGTTAACTGGTACTCGGTTATTTTAAATTGATCCAAATATTAATTTAGGAATTTGTCTGTGGCAAAAGTCTTAATTTTGGTTGGACCTAGAATTGCACGATTTGATTTTGATCGCAGTGCGAGCCGCGGTAGTCTACTGACTCATGCCACACAGGGTTGCTGTGCGATTCCGCTTGACTATAACGTAACTGCGCCTAATGTTTGATCTAGCCCCTTAGGTAAGGGATGTCGAGGTCTCTGTTAAGGGCCTCGGAGACATACCATTCTGCGTATGGTTCGCAAGGTTCTGTTTTGCAAAACCGGCAGATTACGCATATGCGTTTTAGAAGGAAAGCACCATGCTGCACATGCGTAAGCAATTGCTGGTTTGATAACCATCTTGTATAGCCGAACTTTGTTAACCAACCTTAATTTTGAGGTTCTACATAGTATAAGGTAGAGTTGCCCAAACGTAATTGGGAATTTAGTTTTTAACGCTTCAGTGTGATTCTGCCAGGTCATCCCCCTGTCAAAAGTGACACCGAGATACTTAGCAGAATTTCCCCACGGTATGCGAGCTCCAGTCACTGAAACCTCAGGCGGCGCGCCGGTACGTTTTTTAGTACAATAAATAGCCTGCGTTTTCGAGTAATTAATTTTGATTAACCACCGATCTGCCCATTCCAATACCTCATCCACCGCACTTTGTAACCTGTCGTGAATCAGATTCCCGGATCGCGACTGGGCCACCAGTGCAGTGTCATCACCATATAGATAGACTTCACAGTCGCTAGGGTAAGGAACAGCATGTGTGAAAAGTGAGTAAAGGATTGGACCTAGAACCGAACCCTGAGGGACGCCGGCTCTGATGGGTCGTACTGTCGACAAGACATTATTAGTTTTAATCCGAGATTTCCTTCCTTCAAGGAAGGATTTCAAAAGTTTTAGGAGTCAAAATAGAAAGCCCTTTTGAATTAGTTTATAAAGAAGGCCCTTGTGCCTCGCCTTGTCAAATGCCTTCGAGACATCCAGAAGCTAAATGCCAGTACTTTCGTTAAGGGTGAAGCCCCT